CTTTTTTTTTTTTTTTTTTTTTTTGAGCTGAGGACAAGTGATCAGGAAGCTGGGATGAGTCCACAAGGGCCCCCTACATGGAGGATTCAACCATAAACTGTGATGCATGTGTGCTTGGTTCTTCCACTCAGCCTAGAGGGGTGTCATTGTAGGGACTAAAGATGGGATGGTTAAGGGCCGTGGTCTGCCTTCCACTCATGGTGGGTCTCTGTCTGGGTGGAGCCCAAAGAAGCTGGGGGTAATTTGGGAAGGAACAGTTGCCAGGAGTGACTCAGGAGTGTCAGAGAGACAAACCTTCTTTCCAAAAAGATACTCTAGAGCTGGTTTTCCAAAGTGTGCAAGACAATTTTGTTACAGGGACCCATCAGAAAATATCATCGACTTGCGAAGTGAGAGAGTCGGTCGTTTTCAATCCTCCTTTTGTCCTTCTGATTGCATCAAAGGAAAGGGCTTTGCTTCTTCTAGTCTGTCTCACCACTTTTCCAACACTTGTTAATCAGCTGCAGCCTCCGTGCCTTTTGCAGGCAATAGTATTTACAATTTGATAACAGCTTTTTGTTTCATATATTTATTTTTGGCAGTTATCTTTGATTTATGGCAAGATGTTGGCTTTCCCGTTTACGGTAGTGATTTAAAGTACCCTTTAAAAACTTAAGTACAGTATAAAGAAATAATGGTGGTGGTAGGAGGACTATGGTAGTCACCATAAACCTGGCAGGGAAGCAAGTGAGGTAGTAGAACATCACCCTCATCAAATAGGTGAGGCTGCTGCTTGGGTCTCATTCATCTTTTGAGGCGGATGAAAGCACGACAGCCACAGGGGGAATGAGTGGAAGTGTCGTGGATTCCAAGACAGCACCTAGCTGGACCAAGCTCTGGGCTGCCTGGCTTCCTTAGCCTTCAGGGTTTGACCCATGCCACTTCTTATGGGAAGTCCTCCAGGATACCTGGCTCTGGAGTCATCTCTCTTCCCATACACTGATCACCATCCACCTTCTCTGGAACCATCAGAGGTCACAAAAGTGGATGCCTGCTGGGGGTAAGGGAAGGGAACCTACAGCAACCTGCAGGGCATTTGCCCCACTTAATGGCTGATAAGCAGAAATGCAGGCCCAGTGTGGTCACACTTCCCAATTTCTCAAAAGAAGTCAGAAGTCTAAATCCTTATGTGAAATGTTACCATTTTTAACACTGACAACAGATGTTCACCATGCCTGGGGGCTGGATCCTGTTTGGGCACCCTCAGGTGTCACAGAGGAAAGCTTCCAGGTGAAGATGGCCATCAAGCTTCAGTGCCCTCTGAAAATGACGGGTCCTGAAAATGATGGAACTGAGAATATGAAATCACAGCTAGAGCAAGTTGTGTACGTCATGTGTTTTACCCATAAGACTGGGCCCTTCTGGTGGGCAGGGGGGGACCTGAGTCATCGGGCCCTGCCTGACCAAGGCCAGCCCCAAAGCACTGGCCACACAGGCCTGGGGCAGGGTGAATGAGAAAATCCAAAAGGACAGGTGTCCACCCTCCAGGGAAGTGAGGCAGAAGGCTGGGGTCACATAGCAGAGGTGTTCCCACAGACACATGCTTGGGAGTGGGTTCCCAAGGGGAGGGAAGGCCATTGTGCTGGGGGGCAGCAGACGTGGTAGGACAGGCAGTGAGGATTGTGCTGGAGGACAGCCCAGCTGGGAATGGGCTTTGACAGCAAACTGGCTCCAGGATGGAGGAGGGATGCTCCTGGATGCTGAGTTGGGAAAGGTGGGCAGAGAGTGGAGAGGCTATTTCGGGCAGAGCCTGGGGGTGTGCAAAGACCAGGCGTCTAGAATCCCATGTAGGATTCAGGACAGGTGAGGGAGGCAACCTGACTGAGCTCTAGCAGGTGGAGCCCAGGTCTAGGTGGAGGAGACTGTGCTCAGAGGCTGCAGCGGAGGATTGGGGAGGCAGATGGAGGGGGAGAGGGAACTTCAGGCAAAGAGGAGCTGGAGACTGCGAGGGAAACTTGCCTCTCTCTGTACGGGTAAAAGTTGATCTTTGGGGGTGGCTCTTGCGGTGCATGCACCCTCCTGGTAAAACTGTTTTTCGGCCTCTGGGGTCTCTAACTGGTCAAAAGGCCTGGCTCAGCCCCATGCACCAGTAATCAGGCCTCCCCACCCCTTCCCAGCTCTGCTCCCTATCCTGCCCCAGGGCGCACAGAGAGAGAGAGAGAGAGAGGCGGCCCCTCGCGCCCCAGGGCTGACGGTTGGGACCCGGGTGCTCCGAGGACTCTTTGGGTGGGGATGCTCGGGCGGGCTTTAGCTCCTCCGAGGTTTCGCGCCACGAGTGCGCGGGGCGCCGCAGAGGGTGGCCAGCAGCGGGGCTCTCCCGACCCGGCCCGCGGCGCTTTTACGCCACCGCCTCGGGGTGTCTCTGCTTCGTTACGAGCCGGGAACCGCGGCGGCGACGGCGCGAGGAGGGGAGCGGGCGGTGGCGGCGCCGGCGGCGGCGGCGGCCGCGCCAAGAAGCGCCGGGTCACCGCAGGCTGAGGCGCCCGCCGTCCCCGCCCTCCCC